GAGAGAGCTATGCTCGGGTTTCTTTGCGCGACAAAATCCGAAATATGGAAATTCATACATTAATTATTTTTTCAACAGAAAGTCATTTAGATTTTTTTCCTTAGATACATAATTGTCCTACTGTACCTATACATACTTCTTGCCTCTTGTATTTAAATTCGTAAAGCATGTCTTAAAAAAAACTACATATATTAATAACAAATTCCATTCACCTTTCAATAAAACTTTATGTCAGAAAAATAAAACAGGGAAATGTCCAAACCTGAGACCGAGCACAAGGCCTTGTAATAAAATTATCCTTTCACATATTTTTAACCGACTTCAAAAAAAGAGGTTCTCAACTTTACATTTTATATTTGTGCGCGCTTATCTCGCGATAGCTGAACCGATTTTGAAGCGGTTTCAAAAAAGCGTTTGTTACACTTAGGAGAAGGCTTTAGTAGTATAATAATTAACCGATATCAAAAAAAGGGGGAGTTCAAGTCAATTTTTTAAACGTAGTTTACAAAAGAAATATGAACAGAGGATTTCATAATAACCAATCATACACACATATCAACAACCTATAAGTTGCCACTGCTGACCAAAGGCCTCTTCTCACACGGAGAAGGTTTGAGAATTAATCACCACGCTTGCTCAATACGAATTGGCGATTTCAGACTTATAATTAAGAATTATAAGCCCAGATTTCCTCACGATATTTTCTTTCACAGTTTGTCAATGGTGTCTAAACAATCTTAGAAAGTACATATAAAATTAAGAAGAAAATTAACGAGATTACCAACAATTTTCTACCCTTTTCCTAAATATATTCACATCCTAATATTGGCTTACGCGATCCGCCCACATACACAAAGCTAATACATATACTTTCGTGTAGGCGTAAAATTCCTTCCGAAATGCTTTCACAGGCCAGTATTTGCGTAAATATCGTTTAGTATGTTTATGAAACAGAGTTATAAAGTAATTTATATTATAAACATTCACTTTGATACCGATATTTTATACTAAGGATGTGATTTTGGTCATGTTAAAAGGATACATAACATCACGCCTTTTATTCCCGAAGGGGTAGGCAGAGGTACACATTACGGCACTTAATGCCATTGTACAATGTAAGATCCACTTTTCACTATTTATGTTATGAGTCCCATGTAGTAGGAGGTGAGCCTATTGCTATATACCGGGCACAATTCCAGATTCCGTGCTAGTACTGAGATTTTTTTTTAAAACCCAGTTATACTTTGTCCGATCCAGAAATCGAACCCGAGACCCCTTGCCCGGCAGTCGTAACAAGTCTTTTTGGATAACCATAAAAATCCTCATGCGAATAATAGTATGATAGATGCTTTAACACTGTAGGTACTTAACGAAAACATTTTAGAAAAATTGCCATATCCAAAAACAACACCACAAAAATATACTAAAAATATTAGCAGAGAGAAAGGGACCAGCTTAAAATCACTTCATAAAATACCACATCTACTTTTGACGAACATCTCAGCCTCCCCTGGGGCTACATCCGTCCGTCGTCTTCGTACAAAGCCGCCAGGCGGTTGACTCAAAGGAATTACCCTTACTATTCTACTATAAACTCTATACATACTGTTTTGTGGTGTAAAATTGTTTGTCAGGCTTACATTTTTGGTACAGTTTGTAATTATAAAGTATTTTTAAAGGAAGAAAAGTGTAGGAAAATAATAAATACAATTTGTTTTTTTTTTATTAAACTGACTGCCTCGCTGGCCGAGTGGTCGCAAGACTGCCGGGCAAGGGGTCTCGGGTTCGATTCCCAGATCGGGCAAAGTATTACTAGGTTTTAACCCGTCGAGCGTCCGCGTTCCTTATGATCCAACGGGTGCACACGTGACATTTGGAGCATTTTTTTATGATCCACAGGGTGCTCATAAGGACGCTCGAGGGGTTAAAAAAAATCTCACTAGTAGCACAGAGTCTGGAATTGTGCCCGGTATACGGTAATAGGCTCACCCCCTATTAAATGGGACTCGTTGGTGTTACATTGTACAGTGGAATAACGTGCACCTGTGCTTACCTCCTCGGGGATAAAAGGCGTGATGTTATGTGTGTATATGTGTGTATTTATAAACTGCCTACTCATACTTTGCTGACGCGGTTGTATCAGTACAGAAGGTAAAGAAGCTGAAGAAGTTTGAATATAAGTATCGTATTCCAAACGAAGCAATCTTGTCATCAACATTTTTCGTAGAGTTTAACCCATTAAAAGGTATACATAACGAGACTAGACGTCACGTTTTGAACGGCACTGTACCTTTTTATAATTACGGGTGTCATTGTCCCCAAAATGAACTCTGAGACGCGAAATTTGTTTTAAGAAACCACGCGAAAATCTGAACAGTCAAAGCCTATGTGACGACCGTTCTGAGGCACGAGCTGGTGTGGGTGCTGGTGTGCGAGAGCGATACTGCGTCGTACATTACTCGTATTTTTTTTGTTTGAGAACATAATAATGAATTAGTATGTCTAGATAATTTTTGACAAAGTATAGTTGAAAAACCTTTAAGTAACCTTTAAGTAACCTACATTTACGTGGAGTTTTTTTTAGTAATGTCAACGTTTTTGTTGTGGGCACCCAACAAGAACGTTAACATTACATTATTAGAAAATACATATAACTCGGAAAAAGTCACATTGGTACTTACCCATCAGCACGCCTACTTCTCATGTCCACCCGGGCATGAGAAGTAGGCGTGTTAAACCTTTGGGGCCACCAACACAGCTTAGAAATACCTTCATCAATACACCAAAATAACAATTTTCTTTACTTCCACGTGCCACACTCAAACAAGGAAGCTCACGGGTAATTATAATTGTTTACTTAATCAACAAGTCCCATACATACAAATTGTAGGTCACCATCAAAATTATAATAATTAAAACTTTCCAAAAACCTTGTACTTCCTTATGGTTAGTTCGTTTTATAGCCTTATTACAAGAGAATAGACAACTGACTTTGACGACTGCCTTTCATGGTTGCCGTAAAATAGTCTAAAGTTGCACCCCTGTTTAGATTTAGTCGTAAACAAGTTACATAATAAACTTTTTAAGGAGTTTGCTAATGTCTATTTCGAGTTACAAAATAGTGATGTAAACGAATGAAATCTCTGTAACCGTATCTGAACCGATACTATCAGAACCTAACTATTAATTTTCTAATCGAGTTTACAAATTTTGGAATGGTGCATAATAATTGTATCAAATATGTTATATTATTATAGGAAAGGTTACCTTACAAGTTATATTCACTTCACTCCAATTATTAGTACATACATACATACATACCCCAAGCTTGTCTCACATGGGGTAGGCAGAGATTATGGAACGCCAATTGCTACGATTCTTTCATAACTCTTTCGCTTCATCAACACAGTCATCAGTCTTGTCACGCATGCTCGTCAGTTAAAAGGCGTGCGTTGGTAAAATTTATAAGACATAAAAAATACAGGGCAAAGAATGTAAATCATGGTCAATACCTCAAACTCAAAACCAACTAACTGAATACTATAAGTCTATCCCCGAGATCAAGATGTCGAAATTAGCAGACTTCTTTTCCTTATTACGTACTACTAGCAGCAGCAGCAATCCTACGGTGCTACTGGTCTGATGGCAAGCGATCACAATAGCCTAGGTACACCCTAACTTCAATGGCATCACAATTGCTTTACCGACCACACACGAAATAAAAACTTTTTTATGAACTTCATGATGTCTGGCCAACTAAAAATCCATAACAATATTGTTACTAAAATAAAGTCAAACTCAAAATCATTTATTCCAATAAGACCAGAAAGGCACTTTTGAAAGTCAACAATAAAATAAAAGTGAAGCTTGCTCATTCCAAGGTGTAGATTCCTATGAAGAAAAACGAGCAAGAAACTCCATAGGTTACTCTTTTTCAATCAGGTTCACAATACGATTCTCTAGTTACATAGTTTGCTGTTTGGATTATGCGAGAACAATGTAACACTAAAATCTAGTCAAAGTGATCGAAAAAGAAAATAACCTTTAAGACAATAAATAATAATCTGGAGCTGACCAGTCCCAGTTGACGGCGCCCGTTCACAAACATGACATGTACACCACAATAACATGAAGGATTACTAAATCCTTATTTTATTTTAGTTTCCTATCCGTTATTTTGGTTCATGTTATTTTAGTCTCCTATCCGAATTCGTATCTAGATCCGAAACTCCAAATCCGTACAACCCTTTACAAAGTCCAAGTGAACCGTGACGGGTCGAAGTTTTGTCTAATTTGGGACATAAACCACTGATAGGATGGATTTCCTAGCACTGGTTGAGGTTTTACTGTTGGTATTAGCAACGTAACTGGACTTTAAAAGTGACTTGTGAGAACTGTGTCTGTTTTGTGTTGGTTTTGCCCGAATATTGAAACATTACTCAATTTTAAATCGCGCTTAAGCATAGTTCTCTCTCTACAAATTCTTTGTAAAATGACAGAGACAGCATGATATTTAAGCACGTCTTAAAATTGAGTAACATTTCAGTATTTCAGGATTTGTGACATAAGTCTGATAGTCAATGATAAAAGTTTAGCTTAGAATCTTAACGGGTAACGATTTTGGAACCATTTTTAGTAATAAAACATAACATAACATTTATCACAGAACATCACGCCTTTTATCTCAGGTGGACAATGGCATCAGAGGTGCACAATGGCACTTAATGTCAATGTACAATGAAACACTCAGTTTTCACTATTTATATTAAAGTCCCTTGTAATAGGGGATGAGCCTATTGCTATACCGGACACAATTCCCGACTCCGTGCTACATCTGAGATTTTTATAAAAAAGTTGTACTTTTCCCGACCTGGGAATCGAACCCGAGACCCCTTGCCCGGCAGTCACATTTGCGACCAACGAGGCCAACGAGGCAGTCAACGAGTTAGTAATAAAATTAGGAAGGTACATAATTATGTTCTCTTTACATTATAACTTACCTTTTGGTCCAGAACTGACTTGGCACTGATACAACGCATCGTCATCCAGGGTTACTTCTCTGATGTCCAACGAGTAGTCACCTGCAAACGAATATAGAATTAAATACTTTGTAATTGAGTCCATTTTACTTTCTGTACATTGTTTCATGCCAGCTAATGCTTATGATTTTACCAGCAACTACTTTTTGGCTGTTTCTAGTATCGTTTATTTTTGCACTAAACTTAATGAGACTTAAAAATCAATTTTAGTTTTATTTTAGGTTAATATTATATTTAAAAAGATAACCAAGTCCAAAAGATTGATAATGTTGCTGACTTGGTATATCAGCACTTAGCGCTTGATGGCCATTCCTCTGTTTAAGCAATCTTTAAGGGCTCATACACAAAACTCCGATGCGGTGTCGCATCGCAGAAACGTGTGAGCTTCCCTCTACGCATCGCAAGAACTTGCGAATTGATTCGCATCGCGCATCAAAATCTTATGTTGCCAAAATCTTCTTTGTTTATTTTTCCTATATCTCCTAAGCAATAACAGTGCACATAACAGGTGCACACTTTTTTATGATCCATTTCACGACCTAGATTTTAATTTAAAATACGTTTAGTACGGTTGACGGTCGTCGAAGGAACGGTCACCCTGGGAGACGCCTTGTCGCACGAAATCGCAACACAGCAATTAGCATCGTAATTTTTTAAAATGAATGCTTTTATTAGTGTTAAAATTACTCTTTCAATCTTAGTTTCAAGAGATAGACAAAACCTCCTAATATATTTTACCGTTCATCTGAACGGGCCTGTAGACAATAAAGAACTACATTTACTACGATTTTTTTGTAGCTCAACATCCGTATAACGATAAACTTTAATCAAACCAAAATTAATGAAAAATCCAAAATTCCCGATCTGGCACATTTCCAAACCAACTCAACGAAAGTTAACCACTATTATGTAATTGTGAGGGCTACTGCCAATACTCTTACTCAATATTCGAGCCTCGATTTAAGCTAGCTTAAACGTCACATCATATCATCAGCCTATAAGTCCCCACTGCTGAGTGAATACTTCTTCCTAGACGGAGAAGGTTTGAGCACGAATCACCACGCTTGCTCAAGGCGGGTTGCCGAACTTATAGTTAGAAATTATAAGCCCTGGTTTCCTCACGATGTTTTCCTTCATCGTATGTCACTGGTTTAAAATAAATAATCTTAGAAAGTACATTACAACTCCGAAAGTCACATCGATAGGTTTTGAACTCTCATGCATGCAAATCGAGTGTCTTAAACTCCCAGGCCACCACGACGATTTAAACAAGCTTAAACGTATTGATGCACTAAGCTAAAATATCTTCAGTAAAGCGCTACACATTCTCCACTAGAAATGCAAAGTATTTCTACTACATGAGAATTCCCGTCTTCCATCCAAGTTTGTTCTTTGAGCTCGTTGCTAGTTCAAAGGATTTACGCCTAAATACTTCTTTATTATCGGGGCGTGATAGTGTGTTGGCGTTGTTTTGTTACGATATTTTTATCTGAACTTCTATAAATAGACAAGTGGTGTGAGATCATCCTAATAATATTTGTATTGTAACTTTCGTGAGACATACTAAATAAATTATTATGTTTTCGGCTTACTCACAAAATAATTTGACGAGGAACTCGACTAGTTTCAAGCCATGCTAGAGGCTCATATTCATGAGCAGCATTTCGTGACCCGCGACGCGGCGACTGTCGCGTGTAATAATTCATCCTAATAATATTTTAAATGCGAATGTTTATATGTTAGTTTGTTACTCCTTCATGCAAGAACTGCTGTACGGATCGGGATGTTTGAAACAGGGGTAGATTAAGGTTTGAAATAATACATAGCTTACTTTTATCCCACGGGAATGCGGGCGAAGGCGCTGGTAGAGGTGTTATTTGGAGGCGAGTAATTTTTTTCAAAATTAAAACTTTGCTTCAACCAATACCATAATATTAACTATTTTTAGTTACTTCTATCAAGTTAGAGTTAGACTCAGTCTATTCAAATTCAATACAAATATCATCTTGATAATAATTAATAATATCTTGATATTTTCTTAAAATGAGTATTCTAATCATTTCAAAAATACCAACCTTCTTCGTCACTCCCAATCATCTTGTATCGTTCATAGCCAGTGAGATGACGATGTGTGCCTAAACCGAAGTCATCCTTCGTCCACTGCAGCTGCCCAGCCTTGTTCTCCACTCGACAGGGTAACGTTACCCTCGATCCTACTACAGCACTCTGTAAAAAAAGAACCGATTTAAGTGTGAGAGAGTCATGCTTCGGTACGAATTGGCCGGCTCGACTGGAGTTTTAAAGTGAGAGTGAAGTTACCGACGGTTGTCATACTCCGTCCTCCTCCGTCCTCGTCCGAACTACCTTTAAACCTAAAAATCATAGCAAAAAACCTACTAAACCGATTTTACATAGCTTTGGACATATGACATGTATAATTTTACTATTACAAGCAGGATAGCTTAAAGAAATCTGTTGTTATCATATATTTCATAGGACAAGTGACTATCACTAATAAAAGAGCTTGCAAAAGGAACATCATATATCCGAAAAAAAATTCGACTTTCTAATAAAATACTCCTTTTCCCGCAAAATATCACTTCCCACAATAATACTAATATTAAATTCACGCGAAAAAATGTCGCACCCCATTTTACGTTACCAAATACATCCAATCCGATTTCAAAGACCACAACGAATTCCATTTTCCGACATATTCATACCAATTTCTTGACACCAGACAAAGAAAAATTCGTTATTCCTTAAAATTACTTCACATTTCGTAACAGTAATTTAGGTATGTTCCGTAAATCAAATATTCCCCGGCGAATCCTTGGTACCACGTAGTTGGCCCAATATTATTCTTTTCGTAAGCAAGTACTCAGTTGACATAGGAAAGGCTTGTATCGAATATCTGGTGATATTAAAAATTCCTACCCTCCATCCCGTTGGGACGCGACGGATGTTTTCATAGATGACAAACCTTTTCGAATTAATTCTGTTCCTATTTTATGGACCAGTTAGTTTTGCTGCCCCTAATTTATAATATCTTCTATGTAAATGTTTACCTACATGTAATGTAATATCAATTCGTATTTTCTGTAAACGTTTTGTTTTGATATTACTGTAATAATGTTAACTATAAGCATAACATTTGTGAATACGCAAACGCAACTCTGCATCCGAAATTGCAAATACTTAAATAAATTCAACATTCGCGACCAACAATACAATTGTTCCGATCTATTCACAACGTTTTAACTAAAATTGACAGGAACGCAGATTTATGCAACAATACCGATTAAAACGAAGCTATAGTAAAACGCAATGGCATTTCAAATGAAGCTACTATTGATAAATTTGTCGTTAATGATATAACTTAGTTCACGAATGCGTTTAATTCCTGTGACAATATTCATTTGTTGAACAGAAATGGTCAATAATGAGTACTGAATTAATTTGTATATTTGGAACAGTACTCGGCTGATCCAAAAATAAATTGTTATTGAATCAACGATCGTTAAAACAATATTAAGTGTATGTTTTGGATGTTGGTCGAACGAATTGATGATTTTAATTGATGCCTGACAATATTGTGGAGATTTAAGCGTAAATATTTACATGAAGGTACGATAACAGTAGTGTAAATTAAAGATACAATTTATATTAAACGCGGGGATTTATCCAGAGTATTTTATGTTAATCGTGTTTTTGTATACAAACTGAATCATTGAAATATTAACGGTACGAGGAATTACGAAGAAACAGAACTGAAATTAGATATTTTGTTCCGTCAACAATATTAAAATTTGCTCCATTGGAATCCTTAAGTCCGTTTTAATCAAAATAGATTACTTTTGCCTCAGAGAAGACTAAAAATAATTGCGCTAATTGTATTCGTGTCAACAATTTTCTTGTAATGGACTTTATTTTTATGAAAATTAGGTCAGGTAAGTATTTAACTCGTCGAGTACCGTATTTATAGACACAATTAAAGAACAATAGGTCGCGGTCACCGGTGACCGCTTGGTGTTCGACAGTTTAATATACCTACTTAATTTCCTAGCTTTGGAAGGTTGATAGTTTATTTTTTTTTCTGGAATAGGAGGCAAACAAGCAGACAGATTACTTGATGGTTGGTGATCAGCGCCGCCCATGGACAGTCGCAATACCAGAGGAGTCACAGGAGTCACAGGTTGCCGGCCTTGTAGAAAGAAATACGCTCTTATCTATTCTATATCTATCAAAATATGTATTAAAATATTCGTAGATAAAGTAACTGTCCTGGCAAAACTAATTTTAGAATAGGAAGTTATTTAGATTAGAATGTGCAAAAAGGAATACTTGTCAAAGCAATTTAAACACTACTCACCTGATCTTGTGGTTCAATCGCAAACCTCTGCTCTCTATACGCACTCACTGAACTAAGCAACACCAAAAACGACATACATTGCCACACTAGCACGTTCAACCGTTTCGTTATCCTTAACAAAAGGAACAATGTATTGGCACTTCTACTCGTCACTCGCGACCTATGTTTCACATAAGAGACCTCACTAAAATCACTAAAAGCTTCATTAGTGACATCCATAACTTCATTTTTATAATATTTTACGTCAGATTTCATTTTATCATCTGTTAATCTGACATCATTGTTAACACTTAGAATTTGTTCTTTATTTGCAATTTTTGATTTATTAAAATCATTATTATTGGTTCCCATCTTGTAGTCACATGTTAATTTACTTTTCAATGGTGAGTTTATGTCGCATTTCTGGAAAACGTTTCATTGTTCTGGATCTGTAACAAAGGAAATGTTTAAATTAGTATTTTTATTTAATGAAACTTAATTCGATCTTAGGTATGTAGGTACTGACTTCATTTCTAAATTTCCAATATTAAATGAGATTTTATTAAGATTTATTATGACAAGAAGATTGCTACCGATTATTCACATTCGTAATGTGTTTACCGAGTCTTCAAAATCAAATGCCTATAAATGCCCACTACTGAGCAAAGCCTCTGCTCACGCGGAGAAGGTTTGAGCTTTAATCACCACGCTTGCTCATTGCGGGTTGGCGATTTTAAACTTATAATTAGAAATTATAAGTCCAAGTTTCCTCACTATGTTTTCCTTCACCTTTTGTAAGTGGTATCTAAATGATCTTAGAAAGTGAATATAACTCTGAAAAAGTCACATTGGTACTTGCTTTGGTTTCGAACCCTCATGTATGAGAAGCGGGCGTAATCTTCGGCCCACTACGATACTTCACTTACCCAGTCTTGGTATATTTAATCCGCTAGTTGGCTTTTATGACACCCTTGGGAAGACTGGGGGTGATATTAAAGTATTCTACTCTATCGTCCATATATCACTAGAAAGACCAAGGCAGTCAAATTGACCGCAAGGCAATTTCATTGTTAAATATTTCACGAACTATGTTTTTATTTCTTTTCATATTTTATGACTTTTCTTAATTAGCTATTCTTAGGCTATTTCTATATATTTTGAAAAAATAACTATATTTTGTATATGAGTTTCAATTACAAATACCTATTAAGACCGCGCACCGTCAATGTGACGGCATACATATAAAGACGGCGATAAGAATAGTGAACAACGATCTCTTCAAACTAAAGTGGGTACTTTTGTTTTTATTTATGTTGGATTGAATTCTGAGTAATTTGTTACTACCTAACTTGTTTATATTTTATAGTAGGCATTTGTTTCGTTCGGTGAGCAGTCGTCCGATTACCCGAATACGTGGTTTTGAAACTACATAGTTCAACCCTATTTCAAAAAGGGCCGTAACGTAACCACTTACAACTTTTTCACATCTCTAAATTTAGCCAAAAAACTATTTGTCGAAAAGACTAGTATTGTTTGAACAATGCGGCGTGCAAGACGAGAAGTACCACTGATTTGTAGAGGTATTCGTACTTCAAGATATGAAACTTTTATAATGAAAACCGGTACCGATACAACCCTCACTGTCTATCAAGGAAAACCAGGAAAAAATGTTATTATTTTGAGTACTCTGCACCCCAATGTAGGCATAGGTACTGATCAAAAAAAGTTGCCTGAAACAGTTGAATTTTACAATGAAACAAAATTTGGCGTAGACATCATCGATCAAATGGCACGCAAGTACACCGTAAGAGCTGGTAGTCGGTGATGGCCTGTTCACGTATTTTATAATATACTTGATTTAGCAGCTATAAACTCGTGGATTCTATACCAAAAAGTCTTAAATATAAAAATTTCGCGTCATGATTTTATCCTTCAACTAGTGAGCGAGCTACGTGAAGAGTTTGTGAAAAAAAAATCCACTTCAACTATGACTCACGAACAAGAAACTAATTCTGACACAAATGAACCACTTACAACAAACAATAAGAGGCGGCAATGCCAAATCAATAGTAATTGCAAAAAGAATAAAACATGCGAAAATTGCACTATCTGTAAAAAAAACCTGTTTGTGGAAAATGTACAAAAGAGTCTAAAAATACTATTACTTGCTACAAATGTTACTTAGTTTGATGCGTTTTTTTATTATTAATAAAACAATAAATTTATATTGATTTTATTTTATTTTAAATCAAAATATGGAATAATTTCAAAAGTTTTCTGACTTAGTCTCTAGTACCGTCATATTGACCGCTGCGGTCTTTGAAGGTATAACACGAAGCCCGGCCCTTCTAGTGATATACTACGTATTTATTTCTGAATATCACAATAACAGGTATTAATGTTGCTATATTATTTGCATCCAACAAATTATAATAAAAGCCACCAATCGTATACCCCATTTGTATAAAACCCCTAAACCCAAGCACTTTATAGAACCTAGAGCACTCTCAGCATTTAAATTAACCCAGTACCATTTAATGAAATTCGGTCGCATTTCGGTCACCATCAAAAGAGATGCAATCAAACTGGATCCAAACATTTCCATTTTAAAAAACCAAACTTCGTAGGTACAAACAAATTTGTATGAAAAAAATAAATGAAAATATGTATTAACAACCTCGACATCGTTTAACATGACATTCATAACATTTTGAATGAAATAATAATTTTATACTGAAATAAATAGGTATTACTAATTATATTCTGTGAGAAAGTCAGTTAGAAAATTTTAAAGATAGAAAAATCATAAGTCTCCAAAAATGTCCAAAACATATCCTTGTATACCCAGCACATGAAAATCCATAGTCAGCTCCTAACTCATAATCATGCAGTCGCATAATAGAAGATTATAACCGCAAAAGAAGGTTAACTTGCAAGTAATTTAAAGTAAAACTTTAGCCCATAAATACAGATAAATAGAAGTTTGTTCAAAATTCTATTCAACATACGACATAAACATATCTTAACTATACAGTATTATAGAAGTGGATGTTATGAATAAATCATTCTTGAGCATTGCAAAAGACGGCAATTTCTAGTGCACCGGTTTATAGTCCTCGGAAGGGGGAATAGATATGTCTAACGGTTTTACTATTTAAAACTCGATTCGAAGTCGAATCATAACAGTTGTAGGAGATAAGTAAACTACAAGAGTCGTTCCGGGTGAAATTGGACGTAAACTGTATCAATCATTGTGAAACAATTGAATATAGTATATCTGCAAATAGGCTGCAAGGCAGCACTGCACGTCAATTTTATTACGCGAACGATGAAGCTGACATTTCCTAACTGACTACTCTGAGAAGAAATGCCGAAACAAACTCAGAGGTCCGTCTCTTTTAAAGTCTAGACCAAGATGTATAAAATATTATGTGTGAAAACTGTGCAAACTCGTTCTGTAGCGACCCATTCTGACAGCAGTACGCATGTGTCAGTTTACACAAGGTCACATTGTAAAAAACAATTTTCATTATTTTTTATACTTTTCGACTAACTTGTATCCTATGAACATAGATGTGTAATGTATTGTTAATCCAATACTGCACTGTATCGTTCTGGTTCTACATCGGTACCCAAAACGAGTGTACTGTTAATCATTTGCCTGACTACTAAGATCGAGATGGTAATTTGATTTCCGGATCAGATGAAGCATTGTGAACTTATTTAATCTTGAAATTATCAACAGTTACTATTGTGTTGTGTGAAAAATGATACCTAGTAACCAACATCAAATTTTGTTTTTGTTTTTTCTACTTAGAAGTATGAATATGGGCCCAAAAGGTTGGTATTTAGTATCAACAATATTTAAAAAAATACTTTTCTTTCAACTACTTTTCAATCTTTGTATTTCGATTCTAAGCTACTTCTGTATGATAGTTTTCGCACGAAACTCGAACAAAAGCATGTAGTAGGAGTCCCTGTAAGACTAACGCTTGTTTGACAGAATCGCATTTCCTATCTCTTTTCATCTTAAACCAATTTAAACTGTAAGAAAGAGATAAAGCGTATAATATAACAAAGCTCTTTTGTAGAACTTTCTTCAAAGGAATCTCAAAATAGGTCTTATTTTTAACTATCGAGGGCTTCCCATTACGAAGTAATATTACTTTGTTTGAAGATGGACTTTTGCATGCAGTTTACATTTTTAAATTAAAAACACCTAACTACTTTTCATATTTGATTGCATGGTTGGTGCGGTGGCTGGGCAACCGGCTGCTGTGCAGCGTGTCGTGGGTTCGATTCCCGCACGGAACAACACTTAGTGTGATCCACTAATTGTGGTTTCGGGTCTGGGCATCACGTGTATGTGATTTTGTATGTTTGTAAACGCACCCACGACCCAGGAGAAAATCGTAGTGTGGGGCAACGTTTAAAAAAAAATTATATTTATCATGAACTTTGATGTTGTAAAAACGTAATCACAAAGAGTAACAAAATCAATAAAATTAAGCAATTGACTATACAATACAATTTTTCATTGCAATCGTGGAATAAGAGACAGAATGTCTCTGAGAAGAATTATTTTACATCATAATTGTAAGAAAGTGAAATAGAAAAAAAATACATTATAATCTCAACTTGAAAGAAAAACGGTATAAAAACGCTGATGGACCTAATATGCTACCCTGTGGAACACTGAATAAAAATATATTCTCAAACACTCATTAAACACAGTCATATAGTACCATGCAAGAAAACGTTAAGAAACTATCCGGTGCTATTACGCTAAATATAGTAGGAGTATTGGACTTTGAACCATAAAAGTATACTACTTAGGTTATTGTTGAGATAAAATCTGATATGGACAATGAAGCTGTAGATGGTGCTAAAGATAGGAATGGAAGCTCGGTTAATAAGGAGCACCGGACGAACGATTCAGCAAATGTTGAAACTGCTGGATTTAAGTGAGGCATGAAAAGTTAAATAAGAAAATTATAACTAGAGTTTTATAGGAAACGAGGCTTTATTCTGACTTCATTTGAGTGTATAATTAGGTTAAAAGTATTTTTATAATCGATAAAACAACCAGTTATGTATTTCTGTAGTTAGTATATTTAAATTCACCGTGCATATTGTAATAGTTTAGCTACATGACGATTGAAAATATACTCTAGTAATTTCCGATTGGATAAATTACCGACAAAAACTATAACATTAAAATAAGCTCATCAACATTTTAAATCCAAAAACCATACGGGTAGATAATAATAATTTGACAAATAATTTAACAAAAGCGAATTACGAAGTCTGACGACCAACAGCGACAAACGTTTTACTAGGAGCGCATCTCAGAAACTACAGACAAGATCCAT